CTTTCCCGTTTTACATGATTTAAAATGTAGACTACCATATCTACACCAGAGGAACTACAATTTAATTTTGATTATCTAATTAAATATTAAATCAGTGATCTAAATGAACATATCCATTCCTGAAGCTTGTTTAATTGTATTATTGTTAGTCCTATGTTTTTACATAGTAATCTTTTATGACAACATGGTTTTTGTCCAATGCTTCTTTATTACCTGGATCCCCAACAATTCCCTGCACTGATTTATACCAGATTGGGATAGTTTTCTCCTGGATCAGAATGAGGGATTTACTGTAAATACATCTGATGTTCTAGGGCACATAAAATTTAAAAATAGGATACAGATGTATACTTAGCAGTAGTGCATTTGCCTAGCATACATGAGGTCCTGGATCCAATTCCCAGCACCACATAACAAGCAAGCAATCAAAAGACCTCCAGAAGTATGCATATGGTCTGCCTTAAAAATGACATAATTATAGACTGAGTGACAAAGTAAGTACACAAGCAATAATGACTTGAGTTTAGGAAGCAATTTTTAATGCTGAGTATTTTCATCTAGTCCTTAGATGAGTATCATAAGGTCCTACTGTTTTTCCTGGTACCAGCTTTGAGAAAACAGTTTTGCTTTTAATTGCAACTTTTTAGAGGGCCACTAGATGGTGATATTGCCTTCAAAAAGGTGTGTGGGAGGGTGGTATTGATAAACTAGTGTTTTATAACTCAAAACTCTTTTACTTACCTCTCTTTTCTCCCTTACACAAAAATGCAGTAAACTGATTACTGTTCAAAGAATCTATTTTATTTTGACTGCAATTTTTAGAACCATAAAAGATGCTTTTCAATACTATGTAAGTAATGGATTTGGAGATTTTATTTTTTGCAGTACTAGTAAGTGGAACCTAAGGTCTCATGTATTCTAGATAAGTGCTCTACCACTTAGCTCCCCTCCCCTCCCTTGGGAGATTTTATATCGAGAATAACGAGGCTCAGAGAGGTTAAGTAATTTAACTAAGATTCCACAACAGATTAAACAACAATGCCAGGACTAGAACCAAAAATTCCCTAATTTAGGATGTGGATTTTATGTTCCTTGTATATCAAAAAAGTAAACTTCATATTTTCCTCTCAGGAAATGAAGTTAATTTTAATTTATATGTCATATGGGAGACACACGACACACACAGAGGAACTCCATCTTTTAGTAAAACACTGTACCTATAACTTGCTAATAAAGACTCAGAAAAGGGGAAATACTATGACTCAAAGATTCTGGGAAAGTTGCACAGAATCTTTGAAAAGAAGAGCATTAGCTTTTTAGGCTCTAGAATTTTTATTTATTTCCTCAACTAACCAAGCCTATTTCTCCAATGGATTTTAAAGAGAATAACTGTTACTTAAAAAAGAGGGGGTGGGCTGGGGTGGTGGCTCAGTGGGAGAGCGCTTGCCTAGCATGTGTGAGGCACCGGGTTAGATCCTCAGAACCACGTATAAATAAATAAAATAAAGGTTCATTGACAACTAAATAGTACTGAAACATAGGTTATATAGTTCTATAGTTTCCAATGTTGAACAGAATAAAGTGTGAATATTGATATTCAAAATGAGGAAATAATTCAGGTTTTAAAATATTACTTCTCACCATACACCTTCCTAACTTTAAATTAGTGACTCTCTTTCTTTCTTCTATTATAGCACATGTAACAGGGAGGTCCATACTGATTACAGACCGAAAGTACTAGCTATAATTCTAACCAGTTTTTCTCACAATTAAAAAAAAGGCATATCAAAAATTAAATGAGAGTTGCGGTTGATGCTATTATAGTAACAGGCTGAAATCTGCTCTATTTTAAAATGAAAAACCTTACACTAAATTTTTAAACACTTCAATTATTCTATCTATCTATCTATAGTAGCTAACTAGAAACTATTTCAAAGTAACTTAAAATGTACATGGGTACATTACAGTAAAATTTCTTTTAAAATCAGAGTGTTATTAAGATTCACTGGAAGAAAATATATATTTTGAAGGCATTCTACAAAAATAAAGCCTATTTCTCCAATGGATTTTAAAGAGAATAACTGTTACCTTTAAAAAGAGGAGGTGGGCTGGGGTGGTGGCTCAGTGGCAGAGCGCTTGCCTATCATGTGTGAGGCACCGGGTTCGATCCTCAGCACCATGGATCAATAAATAAAATAAAGGTTCATTGACAACTAAAAAAATTTTTTAAAAAAAAGAAAGCTTACTATTAAAAAAAAGAGAGAGAGAGGGCAATTTAAAGGAGTATATAAATCTCTTAATCAGAATAAGACATTTGCTTATAAAACGACACCAATTATTTCTCTTATAAATTTCACTGACCAGAAAAATTCAATTAATATTACCTGAAAAATGCAAAATTAAAAGATTTAAATTTCCTGCTTTTCTAAACTCAAAATTCCTCCATGAATCCAACAGGGTAATAAAGAACGTGGCCCAGTAAACTGTCATATTTCTGACACTTCACTGGAAACCAACACTACATTTAAAATAGAAATCAATGGGAAAATAGAGTTTTGATTTATAAAATATGGCTTAATAGTATTCATTGAAACGTAATAAGAAAATAAAAACAATGAGATTTATACTCAAGTACAACAAACATATACTTGTATTAAGGATAATATAATTACAGTGAAATCTCAACCAGTTAAGCAAACAAAATCCTTAATTAACCAAAGTGTTCCCCTAAAAAAATGCACAGAAATTTAGTCATTCAAAAATGTCATACCAATTAAGTTTTATATTAAGTACACATTAAGATCAGCTTTTCTTTTCATCTTCTACAAAAGGGCACTATTACACATGATGGAATAAGAAAAAAACTGAGAACAGAAAACCTTGAACTATACATTGCCAATATCTTCTGACTTTTAGTCATTCAATCCTTAATAATAGCAAAGATATGGAAATAATGTAAGTGTTCATTAACAAATGAATTGTTAAAAGAAAATATGGGGTGTGTGTGTGTGTGTGTGTGTGTGTGTGTGTGCGCCGTGCGCGCGCACAATGGAATACTCTTCTTCTTAATAGAAGGCAATTCCATTATTTATGACAACAGAGATAAAAGTGAAGGGCATTATTGTTAAGTGAAATAAGCCAGCAACAAAAAACAAAGCCTGCATGATATCACTTATATGCAGAATATAAAAGAGTTGAACTCATGTAAGTATAAAATACAGTGGTGGTTACCAGAGGCTGAGATTGGGATTAAGGGTTGGTCAAAGAACATAAAATGTCAGTGAGACAGGAAGAGTAAGTGCAAGAGATCCTTTGGACAACATGGTGATTCTTAACAGCAATATATTATATTCTTGACAACTGCTGAGAGGAGACTTTAAGTATTCTTACCAAAACTAAAAACAAACCAAAAACCCTGAGGTAAGGCATGTTACTTGGATCCTTTAGGCATTCCACAATATACGTATATTGCAAAATGACACATTGTACACAACAAATATATACAACTTTTATATTCCAATTAAAAACAAGTTTTTAAAAAGAAAGTCATTCAATCCTGTATGGTTATCAATTTTCACAAATGCAAAATGAGGAGCATTACCTTTTTAGGCTCTAGAACAGTTTTATAAAACAGACACACACACAAACACACCAAAAATCCATACAACCCTTTCTTCAAATATTAACTCTGAGTACAGTGGGTAAAATAAAAAGAAAATGACTCTCATAAAAGTAGATATAGAGAACTAAGACCCCTGTCCAATCACAACTCTGTTCATAAAATACTCTCTGGGGATTTTCTCCAAACTCTCAGATCATTATTTGAAAACCTTTACACTAGAACAATAAACAATGCAAAGATTTTTCACAATGATGTCACAGCTACCGCAAAATTAAACAGATTTTTCACTCTGAAAAATTCAAACAAAAGAATTTTTATTTATTTCCTCAACTAACCAAAAATTAGCAAAGATTCACTGAAAGCAAACACCTATTTCTAAGAAATTCAATCAACTTATGTTTCATTACTATTAAAAGGTGACACTAAAGAAATGACACAATTGCCATAAAATTTTAATATATAAAGATATATTTATATATCAATAAATCCAAAAGTAAATAAGATTGAGCTAAACTGACCAAATTTTCATGAATCTGTTAATTTCAGAGTTTATTTGTGTAAAAGCTGCTATTTCACATAATATTTTATTTTTTAAATTCCATGTTAAAAAGTCAAGCAGTAGAAAAATTCACCAGATGACAAAAAGTACTTTTCTTTAAACAGTTTTAGCTGCTATATACTAACAAGGCAAGTCATATTTCTCATCACCAGACTCAAAGGAAATCAAATCAGATACACACCTAACTTTAGCCACAGAAGCTCTAACATTTTTATGTTTTACATATATAACTTCCTCATAATATTTTGCTTAAAGAGTTTCAAGTAGTTATCAAAACAAACAAAAACACAACTATAGACATAACACACACAAAGTGAAGTCTAAAACAATAATTAAAATGGTATTTGACAGCTGGAGTGTAAGATCAGTGGTAGAGCACATGCCTGGGTTTGATCCCCAGCACCACCACCCCTCACCCTCCGCCAAAAAAGAAAAAAGTTTTTTAAATGTATAATTTTAAAAACATACATTAAGGTTTCTTACAAAATACAAAAATTAAGAATATCTTAATGTCTGGATCTGCATCAGAAATTAGCATTAATTTTTAAAATTATTTGAAATTCAGTCATATTTAAAATTGCATATTTTAACAAAACTATATTTACCTGTGCCAAAAATCAATTATTTTTAAATTGACTACATAAAATTTTATAACTAGGCAATCCAATATAGTATAAAGTGTCATTATTTTGTGTATTTAAACATGAAAAGTTAATGTCATTTTAAAAAAATATAACAATTAAAAAATAAGGTGTTTTACAATACAGATTCTAAAAACAGACTTCAGTGTCTACAATGTTCATTTAAGAGTATTCTTACCTTTCTTCTGAGCTATACAAACGAGCAAGTCCAAAATCAGCAAGCTTTATCTGCCCTCTGGTGGAAATAAAAAATGGACAACAGCTGTTATTCTACTCTGAATTGATAATGTAGATTCATACTCTATTCCTTGAACTAATCAAAAAGACACATTAACTTTGATTACACTGCAATACTGCCAATGTCTTACAAGAAAAGTCAAGCAGTAGAAAAATTAACCAATGACAAACAGTACTTGTCTTTAAACAGTTTCAGCTGCTATTACTATTATAGTAGTTGAGGCGTCCATCCATAGCTATGGGTTCTCAATCTGCAGATTCAACCAATGCAGATTAAAAATATTGGGGAAAATGCATCTGTACTAAACTTATACAGACCTATTTTTCTTATTATTATTCCCTAAACAATACAGAATTATCAACTATTTGCATAGCCTTTTACTATGCATTAGGTATTGTAAATAATCTGGAGATGATTTAAAGTATATGGGAAAATGTGCTAGTTATATGCAAACACTATGCCATTTTATATAAGGAACATGAGCATTCACAGATTTAGGTCAAGAGGGGAGGAGGTTCCTGAAACCAATCTCCCATGGGTACCAAAGAATTACTCTGTTACTATTATTACTATCATTATTATAATATAGTATTAGTATAATAGTAATTTTGCTAATGTTCAGTTTGTATTTAGAAAAGTATACTTCAATGAAAATGAGAATTTTCATTACTTAGGAATAAGACTTGAAAACTTTTTCAAGTCGATAATACTCAAGAAATGTCAAATCATTTAAAATTTGTTTAATTTTCCAGTTCTTAGTGGGGTTGAGCACACAGAACATTTTCTATTAATTAAAATCATGACCAGGCATGCCTCATATAAACTAACAAACAGCAACAATTATAAGAGTAGCAATTACAAGAGAACTACCAGAGCTGAGGTTATGCAGTTACTGAAATAGTTAACATAAGCTTCATACACAACTTCAAAAAAGTTCACTTTCTAATTGTGACAAATGTTTAAAAAAATTCTAAAAATCAACATGTAATGTAAAGCTGAAAGCCTATCGGCAATTATTAGAATACTCATGATATTTTAAGAAAGGCAACTAAGTATTATTATATGTACATTACAAACTATACTGGAAGTGAATTTAATTAAATATATCTAACACAACTTTAGAGGTAGCCCAAAGCTGTAATGTTGGTTACATTAAAATAGTTTAAAGCAATGAACTAATCTGAAACTCTTTACAGAATCAAGGTATATAGTATATAACACTTACTTTAAACATATATATCAAACTCATATCCATACCTATTATTTAGAAGGATATTTGAACATTTAATGTCTCTATGCAAAAAGTTCTTCTTATGACAATAATCCAGACCTTCCATGAGCTGTCTCATAAATGACTTTATGTGATTTTCATTAAAATGAACCAAGCCTGATTCCAGCAGTCCCATTAGATCATGGTCCATATATTCAAAGACCAGATAAAATGCACCTAAGAATGAGAATAATTAATACATTAAAGACTTTTAATTTTACAATAACTCTTGTATAGGTACAAAGTATAACAATAAAATACTGCTGATGGGTGGGAAATAATTTTTGAAAGTGCTACTTTATCACATTAATCACATTCAAATTTTTCCAAGAACGTAATAAAAAGGAAATACACAAATTAGTTTCCTTTTCCTAAAGAAAGTTTATGATAAAAATTAACTGAGGAGTATGATTAATGTAAAATAAATTGTTAAATGTTTTAGACAAATTGTCTCAGCAGAACCCTCCCCCCAAAGTAGAATTCATTAAAAGAAACTGAAAAGTTGTTAAAAGAACTGCTTTTAATAAAAAGGGGAGTGGTCCCAGATGAACTTTAGACAGTCAAGCTTTCAATAAACATACAATTTAATTGTTTATACAGCTCCAGAGTTCTTGAAAACATAGAAGTTACAACTTTATTTTCTAAAACTAATGTGGTTGTGCAACCAAAACATAAAATAGCACTTAGTATAAACACATAAGCCATACAACTGTACTGTACTGATTAAACCTTAAAACTTGTACAAATTGAATCCAAAGCTATATATTAGAATATCATAATCAAGTTAAAGTTTCATTTATCAATTCAAGAATAGAAAAGCTAACAAAATGCATTACAACTATCTGAGAAAAGAGAAAAATTCTTAACATCATGGTAAGTAACTAATCATAGTTCATAATCGGTTCCTAATTAAAAACAGCAAAATAATTCCCAGTAAATATGGAACAAGAGGATTCTTTCTTCAAAGTTCATTATGGTAATGAATGAAACCTAAAACCAATATCACATTGAATAAGAAAATATCAGGTATTGTACACAAGACAAAACCTTCATTATTACTAACTCTGTTCAGAGGAAACCTTACACAAAAGGCCTATTACCTGGGTTCCTTCAAATCTCATATATTATTTAGAGCTTTCAATCAAAACTTATAAGATAGGTTAAAACAGTCTTAAAAAACAAAGTAAGCAAAGGGTCAAAATAGCAGACATACAAGAACGTTTTAAAACTATGATAGCTATACTAAAAGTTCTAGTGGAAAAAAAGTGAACAACAGGTCAGTGCAGATGGCTACCATAAATAGAGAACCAGAAACTCTAAAAATTCAAAAGGAAATGTTCAAAATCAAAAACACTGTAACAGAAATAAAGAATGCCACTGATAGACTCATAACTATACCACATTTAGCCAACGAATAAATGAGGACTCATAACTATACCACATTTAGCCAACGAATAAATGAGGTTGGGGCTGGGGTAGTACCTCAGTGGTAGAGCACTTGCCTAGTATGTGTGAGGCAATGGGTTTGATCCTCAGCACCACATAAATATAAATAAATAGAATACAGTATTTTGTCCATCTACAACTAAAAACATATTTTTTAAAAAAGTCAATGAGCTTGAAGATATGTCAATAGAAATTTCCAAAATGACATTCAAAGAAAAAAAAAGAACAAAGTATACAATGAATAATTACAAGAGGTGTTATACCAGAGGAGAAGAGAGAAGGAAACATCAGAAATATCTGAAGCAATGACAGAAAATGTCCCTAAATTAATGGCAGATACCAAATCACAGATGCTTCCTTATACACCAACGATGAACAAATGGAATTTGAAATTAAAACCATATATGTATAACATCTATAAGGAAATATTACAAAATTCTAATAGAAAAAAATAAAAAATATAAACAAATGGAAAAATATTTCAGGTATATGAGAGGAATACTCAATTTGTCAAAGTGTCAGTTCTTCCAAATTAAAATTCCAGCAAGTTATTTTGCAGATAAGCTTATATGGGTAGCAAAGAAACAAAACAAAAAAACTGAGAACACCACCACAATACTGGAGAAAAGATGGAGAATAAACTTAGAGCTAACTGACTCTATCCAACTTTAAGATATACTATAAAGCCACCATAATCTACATAATGTAATAGCAGTGAAAAACAGATAAGTCGAAAACATGAAAATAGACCCTAAAAAAAATAGTCAAACTTATCTTCGACAAAGCAGCAAAGGCATTTCAATGGAGAAAGGATAGTTTCTCTGCAAAAGCTGCTGAAACAAGAGGACATAAGTATTCAAACAAAAATGATTTTACATAGATTTTATACCTTTCACAAAAATTTTAAAATGAATTTTAAATTTATGGATTTTAGGTTTCATGGTGATTTTAGATACAACACCAAAATCAATATATGTGAAAGAGAAAATTAAGTTTGTACATTGTTAAAATTTAAAACTTCTCTCTTTGAAAGGTCCGATTAGGAGAACGGAAAGACAAGTCAGAAACTAGAAGGAAATCTTCACAAAATGCACAGCTGATAAAGATTGGTATGCAATACACCTGAAGAATTCTTAAAATCTTACAATAAGAAAACAGCTCAAATAAAAAATGGGCAAAAGATCTGAACAGATACCTCACCAAAGATACACAAATGGCAAATAAACATATTAAAAGACTCTCCACATTACTTCATCAGAGAATTGCATATTAAAAGGTATTGCATGTCTTAGAACTGCAAATATCCCAAACAGTAACATCAAATGCTGATGAAGACATGAAGCAACAGAAACTCTGATATGTTGCTTATGAGATACCAAATGGTAACAGTCACATTTGGAAGACAGTTTGCAGTTTCTTACAAAACTAAACATACTCTTACCAAAGGAACCAACAACTGTGCTCCTTGGTATTTACCCAAAGAAATTTAAAATTTACACCCCCACAAAAACCTGTACATGAATTATAGCAGCTTTGTTCATAAATGTCAAAATTTGGAAGCAACCAAAATATTCTTCAATAGGTAAATGGATAAACAATGTTCAGTTCATCCACACAACAGACTATTATTAATCAGAAATAAAGGTATTAACATCAATCTTTGAAAGGTAAATATTCAAAAACAAAAGGCCCAAGGCTGTTATATGAAGTAGGATAAATTGGTAGTGGGTGGTCCCAAACATGCAGAATAATATCTGCCCCAAAGTAGGGCCAATATCAAGCTACATTTTTAAAACTACAGTGTCTAATTGAAAAGCATTGGTCACATATGGTTTGAACTAAGGTTACAGCAAGGTGAGAGGTGTTTTAAGTATATAATACATAGTGGATTTTGAAGATTTAATACAAAAAAAGGAATTTCAATTTTTTTATATTTGGGGTTAAAATAAATTCACTTGTCATTTTATTTATTTTAATGGCATTTCTAGAAAATGTAATAAACACATACATGACCAGCATCATATACTTACTGAACAGCAGTGGTTTTTGTTGTTTTTGTAACCAGGGATTGAACTCAGGGGCACTTAATCACTGAACCACATCCCAGTCCTTTTTTGTATTGTATTTAGAGACAGGATCTCACTGAGTTGCTTAGGGTATCACTAAATTGCTGAGGCTGGCTTTGAACTTGAGATCCTCTTGTTTCAGCCTCCCAAGCAGGTGAGATTAGAACTGCCACCATGCCCAGCTAGCAGTGCTCTTAAAAGTGCTTAAAAGTTCTCAAAAGCACTGTAAAAATTCCAAAAATATGGAATCATCTGCCTCATAAACTAACAACCTGAGGAGAAACCAGATTAATTCAGAAATAATTTGAAAAAGCCTGTTTTTCAAAGTTAATAAAATATCTTGAAGAAAATATATCAACTACCACTTTAGACACAACTCACTCAGATTATTTCCCAATTTTTGTTCAGTATTTTCATTTTAAAGTTAAGACCAAGAAAGTAATACGATAAGCTCTGAACTATAAGACAATCACGGTAAAAGTCTATTAAATCTAGTTAATTACCCTTTACCCTATTAATAGCATGTTTCAGCAGTTTTAAGCTAAAAAAAAAAAAAGTAAAGGAATCCTTCTAGATGAAATGAAAAAAAAATCATGGCTATTTATAAGATAATAGTTTAGGGGAAAGAGTTAAAAAAATAGAATTATTTTAAAATGGTATTTTTATACAGAATTTCTTTCTCTTGAGATTCTGGGGATATACAGCTCAGTGGTAAAGCACTACTAGCCTAGCATGCTCCAGGCCCTGGTTTTGATTCCCAGCACAGCCTCCCCACAAAAGAAAACCCTTTCACTTTCAGTTTTAATAGTGACACAGATGAGGTTTTCTAGAAAACACATGGTAGCTATTACCACTTCTGCTACCAAATACTGTCCCCACCTGTTTAGCACTTAAGGAAGACACCTTTGTGACTGATAACTACAAGTAAAGAAGAATCAGAGCAAAAAGGACAGATAGAACCAAATGAATCCCCACTAGTCTTCTCCATTAATACAGATATTAAGAATATAAACCTTGAAATATATTAACAACAAAAAAATTTCTTAATATAGAAAAATACCTGTTAGGACTTGGCTCTACAAATGTCCTCCAAAAAGTTTATTTGGAAAGCATGATTCCCAATACAGCAAGGTTTAGAGATGGGGCTTTTAGTCAATGACTAGATCATGGGAGCTGTAACCAGTAGATTAATCAATGTCAATAATAATTTAAATGGACTACTGGGTGGTTACTGTAGGCAGGTGGGATTTGGCTGGAAGAGCTGGCCACTCTGGACGTACCCTTAGACTATATCTTGTCTCTGGTCCCACTCTTTCTCTGCTTAGTGGCTTCCACAAGCTGATCTGCTCTTCTATGCCATGCCCTTCAGCCATGATGTTCTGCCTCACCTCAGGCCCAAAGCAATGGAGTCAGCCAACCACCGACTGAACCTCTGAAGCCTGAAGTCCAAAATAAACTTTCCTCTTCTAAGTTGTTCTCATCAAATATTTTGGTCACAGAGGCAAAAAGCTGATTAATACAACCCGTTAGCAGAACTGATTTTAAAATCAAGAGAATAAAAGTTTTTATTGATTTGCTTCTCCAAGTATTGGAAAGAGGGAGAAACTACATGAATCATCATCAGCAGCAGCAACAATAAATTCAGTCGTACAGATTACTGATTCCAAAATAGTATTTGACACATGACCAAAACATTTGGAAATCAAAACTTGCACATCTTACAAAAATGCATTTTAAAATTCTTCAGCAACATCATTCCTAATGATGGAGAACCCCATTTTCAAGAAAAAGATGTGAAGGACCAACTTTCAATTATCCAAGTTAACATGTATATTAACTTAACTACTTTAATTCAAGACTAATATGTTGGTAAAAGCTGGAAGTAGACATAAGAATAGAAACAGTCAATGTGGGCCAAAGTCTCTATATTTATATTTGCAAATTCTAGTCTGAAGTATTTTAAAAATTATGAATCATATAAACTATTTTTATTTTGGAATTTTATTTTCTTCAATAAAGCAGTCAACAAATTCATTGTTTATAAGTGCAAAGATAAAGTAAGAGCCACTAATTCAAGAGCCTCATTAATGTAGCACTGCAAACAAACGTCAATAAAAAACTACAATATTAGAATGCTTTAACTGGATACATTTAAAAACACAGTGATATTCCAAAAGATAAAATCTGACTGGGGTATCAGGAAGAGGTATTTAGGCTGAGATTTAAAGCAGGACTAAGATCAAGCAGACTTGATGGAAGTGAAAGGCATGCTGAGTTTGAGATACCTTTTTGAAATGTGAACATGGAGGTATCTAGTCAATAACCTGAGTTCAGATCTGGAAATATTTCTATGCACTTGTAATGGCATGGAGACATTATTATAAAAACTACACCGCAAAGACAGTATCTAGGAAGAAGGTAAAAGACCACCAAGGACATACCTTCAGGAACACCAACAATGAAAGATAAGGTAAAGGAAAGAGAGAAAGAGAGACAGAGAAGACGACTAAGATGCAATAGCCAAAGAGTAAGAAAGCAAATCTGAGTAGGAGTTCTTTCAGAAAAGCCAGAAGATTCAAGAAGCAAGTCAACATAATATATGCTGCTCACATCAAATAAAAAAACAAAAACCTAAGAAATTATTATTGGGTTTGACAGGAGATTATTAGTATTTTTATCTTTATAAAGTTGTTAGAAAATTCAGAACACTTAGTGAATAAATGACAAAGTGAAAAAGTACAAACAGTAAGTCCCAGCTGCTCTTTTCATGAAGCCTGACACAAAGGGAAAGGAAAAGGATAGTAACAATTCACAAGCAGACTCAAATTACAAAAAGTTTTTCTTGTTTTAAGATGGGAGAGATGTGAGTAGGTTTAGTGCTGAAAGTAAGAAGCACCAGGAGAGGACAACAGGTAAAAATACAGAAGAGATTACCCAGACCAAAGTTCCTCAGCATTAAAAGGAATCATCTTCAAATAGGAAGGAAAAATATTACTTTCTCTCACAGAAGAGTGAAATGGGTATAGAGTAAGTTAAGTGCATGTAAAGTTAGAAGTTGAGAAAGTGAGTTCTCACCTGGTAAGTGTGACTTTCTCTGCAGAAAATGAAGCAATGTCTTCTATTTAAGAGAAAGAGAAAAGAAGCTGAACAGGAACCTTTGCTTTGTAGACTAGAGGAGGAGTTGCCAAAAGAAAAGGACGATCTAGTAGCCCTGAAGTCCATGCTTTGTAGACCATAAATCTGAGGAGAAAATAACCTACATGATTGTATAATTTTCCTCCAGCAAGTTTAGTATTTTTAAAAGTAATCAATCCAAAGTCAAAGGTTAGGGCAGGTTTGACAGAGGAACAAAATATCAAGAGGTATGAGTTTCCTTGCTACAAGGAAAATAGAAAATCATTCCTTACAACCAAATACCATTACTTTATTAAAAAAATGCGTAATCAAAAAATAAACTGTAAGTTATATTAGAACTCTTCTTTCTCAAATTCAGCATTAGAAATAATTTAAGGAAGACAATTTAAAGAGTCCCAAGATATACATATCATGGAAGGGAGAATTGGGATATCCCTCCACTCTCCTTTAAACCTGGTTTTGTTCAAAGAAAGAAAGAAGATATTTCCTCTATTCTCTTAACCCTACCTCTCAGGAATCTACACTCTTCCCTTTCTCACTTGTATCAGAGGTCCTAAACAAATAAAAAAGATACATGTAAACTGCATTTTACAAGAAATTGTGGCTAAGTGTGGTAGTAGTAATAAAATAAATAAATAAATCAACTCCTAAAATGGCAAAAGAGAAAGGTCTGATCATCTTGACAACCTAAAACTAATTATCTCAAAACAAGAAATGTTTATACTGAAAAGAGGCCCAAAGAAATCTCTGGCCCTCAAGCTTCAAACTTTGAAAACTTAATAAGCTCTTGGCTCTTCGTGTCGCAATCTTCATTCCTACTTTCAGACCTGCAAGACCACCAAAGATAGTGAGCCAGATAAGGAAACACCCCCACTAATAAAATTGGAAAAGGAATTTAAAGACAAGAAATCTATTTAATGGCACCACAACTGGGAGTAAGAACATAGGTATGTATGTGGCCTCAAAATTTCAGTTTCAAATATACTTTCCTGTAAGTATACCAGGATACATAATTAGATTTTTCATATCCTATTAAAATCAAACAAACTGAAATGACAATCCACTTTCTAGTCACTATTTTGCACTTTACCCTGTACTTCATTTCCTTCCCTATTCTATGGCTATGAGGATTATGAGAGTTAAATTTGTAAAAAAATTTAAAATAGTGCTTGGCCCACAGTAAGCATTATGTTTCTATAAATCAAATAAAACACTATATTATCAATTTATTAAAAGTTTCTAATTCCTTTTCTGAACAATGTTGACCCTGATTTTTAAATTAATTTTTATTGGTGCCTAACAGTGGAATTTATCATGACATATCTGTATATGCACACAGCATAATTTTGTGAACTCCATTCCCCAGAACTTCTCTGTTCCCTCTCTTCCTCCCTCCCCTTGGTCTCTGTTCTGTTTCCCACAATGTTCACTCCCATTTTTTTTTTCCCCTCTTTCTTTCTAGTTTCCACATATAAGAGAAAACATAAGTCCCCTGAATTTCTGAGTTTGGCTTATTTTCCTTAATACAATGCTCTCACGTTCCATCCATATTCCTACAAATAACGTAACTTCCTCCTTCTTTATGGCTGAATAAAACTCCATGATGTATTTATACCATATTTTCTTCATCCATTCATATGCTGACACTTAAGCTGGTTCCATGACTTGGCTGTTGTGAACTGTGTCTGCTATAAAAATGGGTATGCATGTATCCCTGACTTAATTCTTTCGAATAAATACCAAAGAGTCGTGCAACTGGGTTGTGTAACTGGGTCGTGTGGTGGTTCTATGCTTAGTCTTTTGAGGAACCTCCATACTGATTTCCATAGTACACTGCTTTAGTAATGTTCTCATTATTTTCTTTGAGCTACCTATGGCTAAGAGAAATATCTTGAAAGGATTAAATAGTCAAAATTATTATTTCTAAAACGTATCCTATGAAGTGATCTCTAGTTATTTATTTATAATATTTTAATTTTTGGAACTAATCTTTCTTTCAGTTATGTTTCTTTTTTTCTTTTGTTCTAATTAGTTATACATGATAGCAGAATGTTGCTTTTATTAAAAAAAATTTTTTTAGTTGTAGATGGACACAATATCTTTATTTATTTATTTTTATGTGGTGCTGAGGATCAAATTCAGTGCCTTTACATGCAAGGTGAGCACTCTACCACTGAGTTACAGCCCCAACCCAGTTATGTTGCTTTTTAGAACATTACCTAAAATTTATTTCATCTACAGTCATACTGCCGACATCTTAAAAGCACATCTGTTATTGTTTGAGCAATTTTTCTTTAGCTTAATTAAGAATGGTTCATTAAATTGCTATCACTTATTACAGGGTCTAGTCTAAGAATAGGAGGTATTGTGAGAAGCATGAGCAACCTCAGTTATACTCTGGGACAAATGCAACCAGTGTCCACATTTTAGAAGTAGCAAGCCTTTCTTACACAATAAAATATATAGGATGAACATTATGAGGTATTAAAAATATAACAGTAAAGGTGCCTGGAAATGTCAATAAAGGGAATTTTGGTAAAGTGACTACTGCAGAAATAACAAAGTGATAAAAAGAATCTGAATTCATGCAAGTTCAAATTTATGGGTTATATTCAATTTGATTGAACATAAAATTCCAAATCACTTTATAAAAACTCACTTAAAGCCAGAGACAAATAACAAAAAAGCTTCATAAAAGTGCAAAAATCATTCAATTGCTATTATCCAAATATATGAAAAATGAACAAATCTAATGAATGCATAACATTTGTTAGACAATCCCATTATACACTAAAATGATCACAGAATCCACAAGTTGAAGTTTGGCGCCTGAAAATCTACAGGTAAAATGAATTTAAACTCTTCATAAGCCCAGCAACGGAAGAGCAGCACAGAAGTAATAACTGCATACACTGAAATAAAAGTTAGAATGCTGAAAAAGAGGATATTAACAACCTGCTGCATCCTAAATTAAAAAATGGCCATTAAACCATTAACTTTATGATGCAGCACATTTGGCTTCCAATTTCCACCTGTCGTAGTGACATAAGACTACCTCTAAATAGAAAAATGTTAGGCATAAGTACATTTTGGTCTATAAGGCAATAAGGAAGGCACCTCAGAGAAAAGCCTTCTCATATTTCAAAGAACCATGAGAAACCAGGCTCTGTCACCAGATTAGAACACATGCCCTTTCAAAAAGAGAGAATGAGGCAGACACTGGCAGAACCTGGATCTTTAATAGATCCTTATGTTACTACATAAATCAGCTCTAAAGCTGCCCTATCTTTGGACTGTTTCTCTAGTAAGTTAATAGATTTCTATGTAGTTTCAGTTGGATCTTCTGTTACTTTGATAAAATCATCCTATTTTAGTGTTATGGTTAATTTTAAAAGGGCAACTTGGCTAGGCGATAATACCCAGCTGGTTGGGTAAAACTAGTCCAGATGTTGTGAAAGGCCGTCATTTGTCATTTAATGAAGACTGAGCATTTCTAATCCAAAAATCCAAAATCCAAAAGGCTCAAATATATGAAGCTTTCTGAACACCAACATAACACAAGTAGAAAATTCCACATCTGCCATCTCATGACACGTTACAGTCAAAACATGGGTGCACTAAAAATAGAGTATAAAATTACTTTCAGACTATACATACAGGTATACATGACAAAATAAGGTTTTTTTTTGTTTAGACCTGGGTTCCATTCCCAAGATATAATTACATATATGCAAATATTCCAAAAAAAATCTGAAATCCAGGATATTCTGATTCCAAGAATTTCAGACAAGAGATGCCCAACCTGTATGATTATTATTTTAATCAGTAGACTTTGAAGTCAAAAGATTGCCCTCCTTCATGTGGGTGGGGTTCATCCAATCAACTGATAAAAAGAAAAAAGACTGAGGTATACCAAAGAGGAAAAAACACTGCCTTTAGATTCAAGACTCCAACATCAACTCCTGCCAGAATTTATAGCCTGCTGGCCAGTCCTAAAAATTTCATACTTGCCAGCCCCCATAATCATGGGACCCAATTCCTTAAAATAAATCTCTCCATATATTAATGTATATCTTATTGGTTCTATTTCTTGAAGTAACAGCACCAAGATATACAAAAATATCAATGAAACAGAGAGCTCAGAAGATGTGGGAACTTTATACAGGATAAAGATGGCACAACACTGTAATATTTTTAAAAATGTAAATATGCCATTTTAAAACAAAAACTCTTGAGGAAAACATTCTTGTAAATTTCCAGTGTACTGGACTTCCTAAACTTAGGACAAACTACTTTCCTTCAAAAAAAAAAAGCCACCAAACAGACACACTTAAAATAAAAAGAACACAGAAAACCAAATTGAAGAACAGGCAAAAGAAATGGAAAAAACTAACTGGGTGCAGTGGTGCATGCCTGCCATTCCCTCAGCTTAGGAGGCTGAGACAGGAGGATCTCAAGCTCAAAGCCAGACTCAGCAATTTAGGGAGGCCCTGAGCAATTCAGTGAGACCCTGTCTCTAAAATAAAATACAAAAAGGGCTAGAAATTTGGTTCAGTGGTTAAGTGCCCCTGAGTTCAATCCCTGGAGAGGGAGAGAGGAAGAGAGGGGGAGAGAGAGACAGAGAGAGGGAGAGAGAGAGACAGAGGGAGGGAGGGGGGGGGGGGGGGAGGGAGGGAGGGAAGGAAGAAAGAAAGAAAGGGAGGGAGGGAGGGAGGGAGGGAAAAAGTTATCTATGACACATGAAACATTAAGATCTATAAGTTCTCAAATCAGAAAATGTCAGAGGAACAGGCAATTACAAAAGAAATGGCAAAAATATAATAAAACATGAAACCTCAACATATGGAAAAAAGTATTAATTCTCTTATTAGTTGGGCAAAATGGAAAAATAATAAGACCTTCAGTAAACAAGTTACAAAATTTTTATTAGAATGCCAACTGGAATAAGTTTTTC